TGTCCACATTGAAAAAGGGAAAGGGAGAGTACATAGTTTATGGGAAACCCCTCCGAATTCCTGTTTTAGGTACACCCCCTCTGGATTTGGAGCACAAGGCATGAATTAAGCAATATGTACAGCATTTAGGGCAGACACTAACCATTTTGCACAACTTTTCCCATTGCAGGTCTGTCTACCCCTCTGACGGGGGCCTCTGAACCCATTCCAGCCAGGGGACCAGGTCCTACTAAAGGCCTGGAAAAGCCAAGGCCCTGAGGAGCATCTGTCTGAACAATGGACTGGTCCCTACAATGTCCTGATGACCACACATTCCACCCTGAAGCTGATGGGAATTAAGCCCTGGATTCACCACACAGGGGTAACACGGGCACTGCCAAAGGGAGACGAAGACCCTACTGCTGCAGCTGAGGCAGAAAGGGAAAGTTGGACCTGCACTCCGAAGGAAGATTTGAAATTCCTCTTCTGGAAAGAGACAATGAATCCCAGTACAGGGTGACAGTGTTTGTCATGTCATCAAAGTGTTTGTAAAGCTAGGGACTTTAGGCTGCCACATACTAAGTTTAAGTACTGACTTTAAATATAGGTCCTTCCCAGTGTGGGAAAGGAACCAGGATTAAAAGAAAATGATGGTTAAATCTGGATGAGTAAAATTAGTATAAAGGATGTTAAACCCGGAGTAAAGGAAACCTCAACTACTTGTTTTCTGGTTTTCATGGGAAAAGAGCAAATTTCTAACATTGGTTTTGTTTCTGAACAGAAATGTGTAATCTGAAGATCTGTTTAAGGTCTCCTGTAAGACCTAGGAAAGGTTGCTGTAACTGGTTGAGGAGCATGCCTTTGCCGCTCGGGACCCAGGAAGGGTCATTTGGGGCTGATGAGTGCTTCTGCCTGAGGCAAAAGGGACATGTCTCTGCCAAAAGACTGGGCCTGAAGGAGCATGTCTCTGTGAGGCACTGATGAACGCATTGGTGCAAGAGAATGCCCCTACCTGTGTATTGTTCTGGAACTCTGTGTTTTGGATTTTGCTCTGTATCTGCTCTGAAAAGGAAAGTGAGGATTCCAGGGAAAGTTGAAACTTCACACTCTGTAGGAAAGTTTTGAGAAGCCTAGTGGATATCAGAAAGAAAAGGATTTTCCTTCACACTTTGTATTTCCTACCTGATCCCTCCAGAATTTGGCATTCTGAAGGAGTGAGTGATGACATAAGGTTTCTTTGCACAAAACCAATAAGACCACTCGTTAATGGTGGTTTTGGTAACCAAGACTTTGACTGGAATGTCAAACCTGAAGGAGGCATGTATGGGTTCTGGTCATCACCAGAAAGCCCTGGAGAACTGGGATTGACTTGTGAAGCTAGTGTAAGCCCATGAGAAAACTCTGGTGCTTTGGTTGGTTGTGTGGTTCATGGCAGTCTTTCCAGGGAAGGAGCAAAGGTTGCTTTCCTGAAAGATGGCCAAAAAGGAACCTGTAGGCCTCAAGGATTTAGGTGAAACAAACCGGTACAGGCAGACCAGATGGAAGATGTGTGGCTCTGCTTCTGTGCCTTGAGGGGTGGACCGAGAAGTCGATCTAAAGGTTCCCTGTGAGTTCCAGCAAAGTGGACTTAAAGATCATAAGTGATCCAGGCTGCTCTTGGTGTGTTTAAGCAAATGAACAATCAAAATTAAAAGCAGGACTCAAAGTAGTCCCTTTAATAACAGTGAGGGTGATCTTAGGAAGAAAAATTATGATTTGAGGAAAATCACAATACTTAGTATTGAACATCAGAAATGGTGCAACTAACTGTCTTGAAAGTTTGCTTTTCAATTTACGGGCACAAAGGACCTGTCAAATTGCCAGTGTTAAATATCATTGTAGCAAGGGCCTTGTAACAAGATGTCTTCCCAAAAGACAATCTCACAGGCACAGAGACCGGTTTGGGAATTTTTGTGTAAATTAACTTGTGTGTTCTGTTTTTGTAGGGCATATGCCTAGAACCTCATTACCTAAGTGATTGACTGTAATACAGGCCTCACTTAAGAAGCCCATTTTCATCATCCCCCCCCACCCCCGAGACTCAATGATTTGGCTGGACTAAGTGGTTGGGCTAGTGAAGGGTCTGGACGATCTGTGGGTTTCACTTTGAACTGATTTTTCCCTTTTCTGTCTTGATGGCTTGGACAGAAAGGGCCCATAAATCTGAAAAGAAGAAAATCCTTATATATACCCCTCAGCTCAAGTGAAGTGTAGTGGGTCACAAGGGTTTTGGATAGGTGTAGCATGCCTTGCACACCTTCCTCCAGATAAACCATTCTTTACTTAAGTCCCTGTCTTTGTCATTTAGTGGATTATGATTTAATTGTGCTTCCAACTCTTTTTTACAAACCTGTCACTTCCAGAATATGACCAGGATGCCAACTGTCCAGTAATGCCAACCTTTGGACACCAAGCCTGAGACTTCCTGGTGACAGCCAACTGACCAGGATTCTGTAAGGTCCTTCCCCTTACCAGAAAGACACCCTCCATGCTGCACTCTTCCCCCCTTTCAGGATACCCCTGACCCAAGGGCAGGTAGGATGACATCCATGTCCAGCAGGAAGTAGTTACAAGAAGATGAGACCTTCATCCATTGTCCTTTATAAGATTACAAAGTGGGTGTAAATCTGAAAGGAGGGATTTGTAACAGGGTGCAGTCAAGAGGGGAGTCCCAAATAGGGATTTGTAATAGGATCCAGAAGAGCTTGGAGATAATTGGCTCCACAACACAGGGAACACCTGCCCAGAATGCTGGCAGCTGTAGTCAATTGTGGGAGGAGCCAGAAATGGGGCTGCAGAAGAAGATTGGTGCTGGGATTTAAACCCAGCGAGGCAGCCATTTGATGTCTCTTTAGGGACTGGACATCTCTCTTTTTTGGGACCACGCATCTGTTTAGGACCATGCGGCTTTGGTGTCTTGGTTGGGACCATGCAGCTTGGGTGAGAGTCAGGACCACGAGGCCTTGGAAGTGCTCCCTTTTGCCACGTGGAGAATGCTGGGAGGACTGTGTGTATTTGTCGGGAACTTTGGTTTGTGTTATTTTGAATGAATAATAAATTCCTTTCCTTGTCACTGAATCTCAGGCATTGAGAGATATCTTTCCTTTGGCAGTGGACATAACGAACCTGGGGGGTTCCTTCAGGGAATAGTATATTGACCTTTGAGGCCCCCCCTTGTTGCTCTGTAGCAAAAGTACTGATGCCTGCTACAATGTAGATGAACCTTAATAACATAATGCTAAGGGGGGTAAAACAGTCACAAAAGGCCATACATTGTAGGATCCCCTTTTTATAAAATGGGCAGAACAGACATATCTATAGAAGCGGAAGGTACATTAGTGACTACTAGAGTTTGGGGTGAAGGGAAGTTGGAGTAGGGGGTGGTGCAACGGCTAACAGGTACAGGTTTCTTTTTGGTTTCAAATGCATAATAAATCAAACTTATTGTATTGACTGTTAATGTGCATGGGCTTTCATTGATGAAAATGTTCTAAAATGGGGGATAATTGTACAACTCTGAACAAACTAAAAACCATTGATTATACTCTTTGAAAGGGTGAACTCTATGGCATATGAATTCTAGTTCAATAAAGCTGTTATCTTTTTTAAAAAATAAAATTTTAACTGCTAAGCAATTTAACCAGGTGATCCAAATACACTAAAAATGTCCCAACTGTCATCAATTTTTAAAGGGGCCACTTGATTACAGGTAATACTAACACTTCCATTTTAATTCTGCCACTCAGAACTGTGCTCATGTCCTGCCAGCTCCCATGATCATCCGGTGCAGTTGACAAAATGTCCTGGCTCCAGATGCTCCCTGGCAGCCGCTACTCATTAACGGGGTAATCTGGGGTCACCACAATGGTTTCTCTCGAAGAATAGTCACACTCTCTCGAAGAATAGTCACACATTGTTGTGCCACATTTTATGTTAAACTTGAGATTCTTTCACTGTAGGAAGGGAAAGAACTTTGTAGTTCTGCTAGGATATAGGTGTGTTAAGTAGGACACTGGGAAGGACAATCTACAAATTATCAGTTATAAAGGTTAGGTGGTTTCTCTGATTCTACGAATGGAGATATCAATGCTGCCTCAAAGTCTCAACTAAACATACTCTTGATGTCAGAAGGCCACTGTGTAAAACAGCAGAATGAGGCCAGCATTTGGTACAATGAAATGGTCATGTTAGCACTCATATTTCCCAAGTAGTCATTCACCTAGTAAAATAGCTTCAGCTCAATGAGTGATAAACAACCACTTATTTCATTCTCTGTGACTAATAGTAACGACTCTTTAGACAAAAAATAAACTGCCTTTCAAGTTCAAAGGAGCTGACAATATCTCAACTCAGAAACTAAACATCTGATGAATATGCCAGTGCCTTCAGGAAGTCACGTGCATGCTGTGACAAGATGGGTAGCTGAGTCTACGTAACACTCCATCTTGGTGCAATGAACCAGTTCAGGAAAGATGATGCGTAATAATGAAAACACAGGAAAACAATTTTTTCAGATAATGATGAGAAATGCCTTGCAATAGGTCTTAGTACATTGAGGAATTTTTCAGTGCCCAATAGTGGTATCCTCTGTTATCTATATAGTTTATTAATGATCTTTTGAAAGTGTAAGAATTATGTTTCAAGTCCACCAACTTTCCACTACTGAAATTCTTTCACTCTGATCAGTTAATGAAAGGAAGAGAGATGTTCAGTTGATGCTTGGAGTCTTGGCACCCACCAGAGGGCCAAGCACATAGTAGGGGTATAAGTAGTATTTGTAAAACATAGAATAAGCTACTGTCTTATCTATGATAAGTTAGACGGTAAGTATATAAATTTTTTAGTAACGCTTGCCTCAAAATTCAGTTGTGAAAAAGTGTAACTATTTGTTAACTCTCCCTCTTTGAGAACCCCCCATGTCCCATCACTGAACGCTCATCTCCTGAGATAAGGACAAAGACTGGATATCTTTAATCACCACTTTTATTCAAACAGACATCACATGGCTGCTGTTATGATACACTGAGAAGTTCACAAAATTACTGCCCCCCCCCACAAAAAGCATTGATTATAAAGAAACATCAGACAAACTCATATTGAGGAACATTTCACAAAGAAACTGGTTTGTACACTTCAAATTGTCAAGGTATTAAATACAAAGAAAGGCTGAGGAACTGCTCCACACTGAAAGATACTAAAGTCGTAACAGTGTGTGCAACTGGACCAAATCCTGGGCCTAGAGAGGACATGGTGGGATAACCTACAAAATCTGAGCACGGTATATGGAATAGAGAGTTATATCACATCAACATTAATTATATCATATCGATGACTCTGATGTGATGGTGGTAATGCAGGAGAGTAATTTGAAGAAAACATGTCCACCATGACAACTACCATCAATACTTCCTGGCTCTATAGCACACATAGACCACACATAGGATAACGGGCAACTTGGACATGACTCTCCGTTTGGTCACCTGCAAGCAATCCGCTGTGAAGGACTTAAGAACACACAGTAATGTGCTGATACTGAATATGAGAATTCACAAAGCACGGTGAAAAAACATCAAGATGAGCAGTAAAGGGGAAAAGGGTCAAAGGAAGAAAGCGTAAAGCGTTCAAGTATTAAAGCACTCAAAAGGCAAAGAGCGGTTGGTCTTGGAATTGGGGTAATAATCAAGGAAAACAGGTATGAGAGGTATAAACAAACAGCCTCAAGCCTATCATTAGCTTCTATCATTATCTGTTATCATAAAAACCACATTCTGTCACCAGCTTTATTAGTAATTATAAATACTATTCAACAAATAAGAAAAAATTCTGACGCATGCTACAACACGAAAGACCCTCGAAAACACTGTGGCAAGTGAAAGATGCCAGACACAGAACACCACATATTGCATGGTGCCATTTACATGAAGTGTCCAGAAAAAGCCAAACTGTGAAGACAGACAGAAAGTAACTGGTGGGCGCAACTGCAGATGTGATTGGGAATGAGGATTCACTGTGACCCCAATTTGATTACAGCACACAACAACTCATTTGTAATCTCAAATTTGAGGCTCCATGCCTCGACTGTCTTATTTGCTATTTAGTGATAAGTACAGTACCTAACTCATAAAGGCTTTCTGAAGATCAAAGGAAATATTGTAATTCAGGTTAAAAGCTTAAAACAATGCCTGGCAAGTAGTGCTTAAGAAGTACACACACATGCCCATCTTAAAAATGTAGAAAATAAAATGCATGTAAAAATGCAACACACATGTAATAAATTATAAACATAAGCAAAAAGTAAATCTATAAAGATTCAGCAACAAACTACAGTTCAACCTAGACCTATCCCTTAATCAAGGTAAATAGCTCAAAATACACTGGGAGGACTTTTAAAATATACTCATAAATGATAAAAACAAATAATACATATACTAGATGTATTATTTCCCTAATATTTAGGGCCTAAGTATAAGGAAATGTTGAGATTCTTCCTCAGCCTCTCATCTCCAAAAGTTGACATTTTGATGTGTAATTCCTTAATTACATGATTTTTTCAGTATTTTCCCTATTTTTTTCTATGTATAAAAGTCCTTTATGGAGAATGGACTTCCATGTTATCCTTTTATTCTATTAATTTTTTATTATAGAGTAGGCTGTTGTTCATCTTAATATAATCCTGGACCAAAAAACCCCAGAAGTCACTACACAGAGGCCAAAGGCACCTACCTCACTGACACACATATAGTCTTCGGTGTTTTCTTGCCCTTGACGACGTACGCTCTGGTGTCGGAGGAATGGAAGTTCTCTTCCCCGCAGGTGTCACATAACGATAGAGATACTGCCTCCTGAACTCAGTCCTGTTCACCGACTCTTTAAATGCAGGTACACAAAGTGAAGAGTTGCTGACCCATCACTCCACCAGACTAATAAAATACTTGCTGAATTTTAATCTTTTGAAACAACTACTCCATTGAACATGACCTGTATATCTTTGGTTAAACAGTATTGTCTCACCAGCATCAACGTTTACAGTCTCTATTACCTCTAAGACCATTTACAAAATGAACTTCTGTTTTGATCATTCCCTAATTCCTTAAGAAGTCCCAGAAAAAGTCCTAACATGAGAAAGTAGAGACAAATTTCAATATTTGATAAATTTCATCTTGATAACTTCGAAAACAAATTTACTCTTTAAATTGTATTATAAAAAATACATTAGTCTTCACATTAATTTTACATGGAAATATATAATTGTTTGAATATTTAAATATAGTTTCTCTTTACCAAAAAGTGTCACTCAAAGCCCTACTTACACAAATAATTTAGATGCACTAACGCAAACACACTTTACACAATATTGTCCACACACACACTGTTTAACTTGGAACACTTATAATAAAAATCTATGCAAGATACTGAACAAGTACAAGATTAATAAAATATTCATTGTGGCTGTAATTCAATTTTCACTATTAAAAGAACTTAATGCACTCTTGAATACGCACACACACAAAAAACATCCAACTGTTTTATCTAATCTGCAAATTAAGCCAAAGAGTAATTTGATAAAGGGGCGCATCATGTAACCTACCAAATTCTGAAAGTAATTCATTTACAATTTAACCAAATTTATAATTCTTACAAACTCATGTTTTCAAGCTTTTCTAAAATAATAATGATTACAGGAACTTAGGTAAACATTTCCAAAATGTTTTTTTAAAGCATTAGGACCGTATACTTTAATATTTTAGTAATATAAATTTTTTAATATAAACCTTCTCCTCTAAAGAAATGGAACTTAGAAGAGTTTCCAATGTGAAGAAGCTAGTAAATTTTCTTAGGTGTTTGATCATTTGAATTGTAAGAACTGTCCTCTTTGCATGGTGTCATCACAATAGATACGACACACCATAACTGCACAGTACACCACTTCCATGTGATGTCTCGCTCTAAAACTTACACTGGAAGTGTGCAGAATGACTGTTAATCATACTTGCTGTAATTATATATCTACTGCATAGGAAAAAAGACACCAATACCCACAAGTACAATATTTTTGTATGTTAGCTCTTCATTTACTTCCTAATCAGTAAGACAGTATCCTTTTTAAATTAAAATTGGAGAATTATTTTAAACTAGTGACACACAGTGATATTTTAAAAATGGAAATTAAAATAATATTTGTATATGAGGCAAGGTTAAAGTTGCTTTATAACTAGAAATATAAACATTTGTCCATTTTACAATATAACTACTGTTTTAAATTTAGAAATTAAAACATATCATCATATCACACTCGCAGGTTAAGTAATGGCCCCTGAAATAAAACTACATTTAGAAATCAACTGTTACAACACTATATTTAATTCTAAGATAACACATTTATATCTCTGAAATCATGGTACACTGATATAGCTTCAATCAAATATGGTTTATACAATATAGATGAAATTGTTTTCCTTTAACATTAATGATAGAAAAGGATCCAGAATCCTTGAAGGATAATTGGACACATCTGTACTAGCCCAACCAGTGTCCCTGAATAAAGAATCTAAATATACTCTGAGGATCTTAGACCTAAACTGCGTATCTTAACATCTTTTATTTGAATTATTAAAATAGCTAGCAACTTTAAGGAAAGCCAAACTAATGTACAAATAGAGTTTCTCACTTGCCAAATGGGCCTCCACTTGGGTTGTCAATTTTATTAGATTTTTTTGGATATCAAGATTATAAGTAATTTTTAATAACAATTAATGGTCTTCCCAAATTGCCAAACCAATAATTTTAGTTTGAGCTACTATAAAATAACATGGCAATGTCTAAAATATTTTAAAAGGTAAGGCCATAAAATCATCTGGACTTTCATATGAAACCACCAAACCCTTCAGGTACAGGTGGTGGGAAAGCATACTGACACTGGCAAGACCATTTTCCCCATACAGTAATGCTAAAGGAAAGCAGAGGTTGTATATTACAGAGATCATATATGTGCATGTATCCAAATGTGGAAAGTTAGAGACTTGCAGATCCATTTTAAATAAAGCAGGAGGAGTTTGTGCTATGTATATAAAATTACCAGGCAGTTTTTAAAATCTGGATTAAAGATTATGGAATCTCATTCTCTGGAATGCTTTTAAAAGAAATTCTATCTCATTTGTCAACTCCACCGAAAAGCTGAGACAATTTGTTATAATTTCTTCTTTTTAATTATCCAGTCAGGCCGTGGTATTGACAATGCCACCCTGAAACACACTGAATGTAAGTATATAGTCATTGTTACAATTTTTAAAAAGTAAAAATAAGATAGCACTAAGTGTTTGCCATTTTAATTCTTGCAATATTATAACCTACTGACATGAGGTACAATCATAAAAGATAAGTAAGAGGGACTTGATTTGGGGCAAGAAAATTATACTGTGCTAAATCATGTGACAAATTAAGATGAAGCTCTTCTATAGCAAACAAAGGGTCTTTAGAATTTTTTTAAAAAGACCTTAAACACTAATCTTAAAATAATAAAAAAGTTTTCATTATAGTATAATGAAAAATGATGTCTGTAGCAAAATAGTTGAAGATTGATTTTTTTTCAAAGTTGGGAGAGCTATGTGTACTAAGTACCAAATATATTTCAAACGAAGTTCTGAATCCTCAACTAGCTTTAATACAAATACTTCTGCTTTGCTTTACTGAGCAACAATTTGTGTAATAGTCGGGTCATCATTCTATCAGAATATGGTACCTGAGAATATAAACTTCTCAAATCATATATTTTAACAGGTTTAGGACGCTTTCTTTGTTTTTTTCTGGGGCGTTTTTTATGGCCCCTCCTCTTAGTGCCTGCAGTGCGGGAATAACCCCGCACAGGTTGCTTGGGGGAAGGGCTCTTTATAGCTCTGAACTGCTCTTCAGCACCAGCTGATGGTGCTGAGTTTGAAAGCAGTTTGGCTGGTCTCTTTGCCTTCTTTAACCTACTAACAACAGGTTTTTTCTTCTTAAGATGCATTCTAATAAAAGCCCTCCTAGACTGATATTTGCGACGCAAAAAAACAGAGTATTTTGAAATATACTTTCTAATTATATCACTTAGTTTGGTCTGAATCCAAATTGACTGTTTCTCTGATGTGACTCTGTTTTTTTGCTGGAGAAGTACTGGTCTGTAAATTTTTTTGAGTAAACCTGTCTTACTACTTGTCACCTTCCTTCTCTGACCTTTCTTTTTACCTTCTAAAGACTCATTTCTCACTGATTTTGGCGAGGCTTTGGCAGCATCACCATTTAAGAGAGTTAACTGGAAATTACTTTTCTTCGGAACTTCACTAGAATTCAAGATATCTGATTTTGCCAGAAATACAGAAGACCCACTGGCCCCCTGGTGTGACATTAATTCATGTCTTACTGACAATGTCATAAAAGGTGCTAAAGTAGAGCTTTGTACATGAGCATCGTCATCTCCTACACTGGGGTTCAGGTCACTAAAATGAATTTGAACCCAGTTATTCCTGTCTGACTCTGGTACTTCTATGTTCAGAGGAGGATTAATTACAATTTGTTTATTCAATGGGTCATAATAATTAAAGGAACTGGGTTTATACTTATACTGTATGCTAATGTCCTGATTGTTTTTGTCACTACGGCGCCTTATTTTAGAGAAGTTGAAGGATTCACCCTCCTTCAGCTTAATATTTGAAGAAAGAACATAGACTAAGGCATTGGGGTGCAAAGGCTTCAAAATGTTAGTGTATGATTCAAGAAACTCAACTGTTCCGATTTCGATTTTCTTTTTTGGTTTTTTGTCATTGTGTAAAAGTAAACGCTTCAGTGTTGGCGAGTCTTCTTCTTGTCCACTTATTCCTTTTGTTACTAGGTAACTCATGAGATTGGTTTGAGTTCCATGGCTGACTTTTACAGCCTGGCATCTAGAAGCCACTCGCCATGTTTGTTCATAAGGCCTCTTTTCTGTAGGATGATGGCTAGGTTTATCTAAGGCTACTGAAAAGTCATCAATATTGTAATCACAGTCTAATAGAACTTGAATAAATGCAGTGTCATTAAGGTCAGCCGAGGTAATCATTTTTTCTTCATTCAAATTTTTTTTTTTTACTTTCCTGGTCTCAGAGTCATCATCAAAGTAACAGTGGAAACGACCTTCCTTAAATTCCTTCACGAGAGCATTAATTTTCATGTCATCTTCTCTCATTATTTGAGACCACGTTTTCCCCACAAATGAAGGAGGGACATGAGGCAAGGCTTCAAGAACTGGTTCATCAGTGTTCTCCTCTACAACCCCCTTTGCTTTTTTCTGCTTCCTTACAGACTCAACCTTTGGAGCAGAGCTTGAATGGGAATCACGTTTCATTTCTTTCTTGTCAAAAGATGTCTTCTTAAACAGGTCTGGTTTATTAACAGCTTCTTGAGGATGGTCAGTACCAGACTGAAGAGAGGGATCTCGTTGAAAATTCACTCCAGAACCACAAGGTTCAGGGTTTACATTTCCTAGATCTCTAGGTTTTAACTTCAAAAGGTTATCTTCTTCAGCCATTTGAAGGATCTCTGACTCAGAAGCATTACATTCTATGCCAGAAACACTACATTCATGGCTCTTTTCTTTTAGGCTAGTACTTTCTGGATCTTTCCAAAAGTTGTCTTCACCGTCAGCTTTCTGCAGTTGATGAGTCACTGGCTGAGAACTTCCTTCCCATTTATTTCTTTTAGGACTCTTAGATTTACAGCTCTTCTCTTCTGGCTCAATATATTTTGCCATTTTTTTATCAGACCCTGGTGACTGGTAAGTCATGGACTGATGAGAGGGATCGATTTGAAAATTTATGTCAGCACCATAAGACTCACAGCCTGACTCTTCCAGAATAATATAGTCTTTTTTCTGGTTTACTACTTTGAAAGTCTTTCTGGATTGATCTGACACTGACTGAGGAGAGCCTTCACAAACATATCCTAGTTCAGTATCACAACAGTCACAGCACTCACCCTCTAACTCAAAACTTTTTGCATTTATACAGTCAATTCCTTCAACAGTCACTTGGGGTGAGTCAATCACTGGCTGACACGGAATATCAGAATCAGAAACCATTTCACAATCACTATCACCAGTCACCAGGTCCACAAGCAGCATCTTTTGCAGATTTGCTTCTTTGACTGACACTTGAAATTCATTTACTACTATTTGAAGAGGGACATCAGAATCAGACATTACTTCAGAATCACTAGTCTTTTCTTCCATGCCAAGATGTGCTACCCCCTGAAGGTTCATTTCTTTGCAAACCACTTGAGGTTGGTCAACATCCAACTGAAAATGAATACCAGAATCACATTTTATTTCAGAAACACTGGGTTCACAGTTTTTATTTTCTAGGTCATCATGATCCTTCTTTTGCAAGTTTATTTGTTTAACAGCCACAGGAGATTGATCAACCACTAACTGAACAGGAGCATCAGAATCACAACGTACTTCAAAATCACCTAGTTTATAGCTCTTGTCTCCTAGGTATATACAGTCTTCCTTCCAAAGACTCACTTTAACAGCTTTTTCCAGGTGGTCAGTCACAGACTGACGGGGATCATCAGAGGCAAAACTTATTTCAGGACCACAAAGATCATTGCTCTTATCTTCCAAATCGGCATGTTCCTCTTGCAAAATGTGTGGTTCTTCAATTGCTGACTGAAGAGGGACATTTGTAACATAAATTACTTCAGAATCATTGGGTTCATAGACCTTATCATGCAGACAAACATGTCCCTCCCTCAGAAGGTTTATTTCTGTGGTTGCTTCTTGAATTTCATTAGCCACGGAATGAAAAGGTTCATCAGAGTCAAAACTTATTTTAGGAGCACTAGGTTCAACAATCTTACCTTCCAAGTCCACAGGTTTCTTCCAAAGGTTGATCTCCTTAACAATTTCCTCATTTTGGCCGGCCACTGACTGAAAAAGGACATTAGAATCATACATAACTTCATAACTCTTAGATTTATCCCTCTTCTCTTCCACGTCAACTTCATCCTTCCAAAGGCTTATTTTTTTAACAGTTTCTCTAAGTTGGTCAGCCACTGACTGAAGAGGGTCATCAGAGTCAAAACTGATTTCAGAACCACAAGATTTATTGTGCTTATCTTCTAGCTCAATATGCTCCTTCTCCATAATAGTTATTTGAGGTTGATCAACTGTTGACTGAGCCAAGAAATCAGAATCCAAACTCATTTCAGAACTGCTATATTGGCTGTTATTGTCTTCCATGTACACATGACTTTCATTCTCAAGGTTTGTTTGTTTAACAGATGCTTCAGGTTGATCAGGCACAGATTGAGGAGAAACATCAGAATCCTGTATTAATTTAGAACCACTAGGTTTATCAACTTTATTTTCTAGGCCAATATCCTCTACCTTCCACAGGTTTGTTTTTTTAATCACTTCCTGAAACTGTTCAGTCAATGGCTGAAGAGGATTGTCAGAATCAAAATTTACTTTACAATTACTAGATTCACTGCTTGTGTCTTCCAGATCAACATGTTTTTCCTTCAATGGGACTAGCTGAGATTGCTCAATGACTGAATGACGAGGGGGACCAATATCCAAATTTATTTCAAAACCTCTAGATTCAGTACTTTCTTCTTCTGGGTCAACATGGTCCTCCTTCAAAACAGCTATTTGAGGTTTTTCAGACATCGACTGAGGAAGGATATCAGAACCCAAAATTACTTCAGAACCACTATATTTATCACTCTTGTTTTCTAAAACATATTCTTCATTCTGAACATTTACTTCTTTAACAACTATTTGAGGTTCAGTCACTGAATAACGAGAAACATCACAATCTAAATTTATTTCAGAACCACTAAATTCAGTGCTTTTACCTTCGAATTGAGCATGCTTTTCTTTCTGAAGCCATATTTCTTTAAGAACTACATCAGTTCTTTGAATCACTGACTGAAGAGGGATACCGAAATCCAAACTTGTTTCAGAAACACTTAATTCATTGCCTTTATCTTGTAAGTTTACATGTTCTTCTTTCTGATGGTTTACTTCTTTCACAGCTCTGTCAGGATGATCAGTCACTAAATGAGAAATATAAGATTTCAAAATGATTTCAGGAACATCAGGTCCATTATTCTTGTTTTCTAACTGTGCATGCTCTTCTTTCTGAAGGCTTACTTCTCTAATGGGATCTTCAGAATGTCCAATTATTGAATGAAAACTATCATAATTCAGACTTAATTCAGAACCACTAGGTTCATTTTCCTTACTTTCAAAGTGTTCCTTTTCTTCTTTTTGAAGATTAAGCCTTTTAACAAGTACTCCAGGAGAATTTGTCACTGAAAGAGGAGCCACATAAGAATCCAAACTTATTTCAGAACCATTGGTTTCATCATTCTTCCTTCCTAAGTGTTCACAGTCTTCTTTCTGAATGATCATTTCTTTAACAGCTACTTCAGGTTGATCAGTCCCTGAAGGAAGAGGTATATCAGAATCAAAAGTTGTTTCAGAAACACAAGATTCATTATTTTTATATTCCTGATCAATACGTTCCTCCTCAGCTACTTGAGAATGGTCAGCTATTGAACATGGAGGAATATCAGAATCAAAAGTTATTTCAGAACTATTTGACCCAGAGCTCTCACCTTCCAAGTTAATGTGCCTTTTTCTTATTTCTTCAACATCCAGCTCAGATTGCTCGGTAACTGACAGAGGAGGGGGGTCAGACTCAAAAGTCAGTTCAGAACTGGAGCACCCATAGCTCTTAACTTCCATGTCGACATTTAACTCTTTTGGATTTATTTCACCCAGAGCTCCATGAGGTTGTTCATTAGCTGACTGATAAAGAGAAGCATGAGAATTAAAACTTAGATCAGAAACGCTAGATTTAGCACTCTTATTCTGTGGGTCAATAACTACTTCTTGAGGATTTACTTCCTGAACTGCTACTTGGGGTTGGTCATCCACTAACTGACCATCAGTGTGAAAACTCATTTCAGGACCATAATATTCACAGTTGTTATCCACAAGGTCATTCTTCTCTTTCAGAAGATTTTTTTCTTCAACAGCCCTCTGAAGAGGTTCATCAGTCACTGTCTCAAGAGAGATACCACAATCAAGATGTGCTTTAGCACTACTAGATTTGTGGTTATCTTTCAGGTAGACATGCCTATCCTTTAGATTTCTTTCTTTATTAGCCATCTGGGGATGGACAATTACTGACTGAAGAGAAACATCACAATCAAAACTTGTTTCAGAACAGCTTGATCCATAGTTCACATCAACCAAGCCAATGGGAACCTTCTTCTGAAGCTCTGTTTCAGTGACAGCCACTGGGAGTTGGTCAGTCACTGACTGAAGTGGTAAAACAGAATCAGCACTTACTTCAGAGCTACTAGAACCATAGTTCTTATCCACCAAGTCAACATGTGCCTCCTTAGGAAGGTCTACTTTTGCAGGCTGTTGTCGGTAGTCATCAGTTGACTGAGGTGAGGTATCACAATCAAAATTCATCTCAGAATCACTAGAATCATAGCTTTCATCAACCAGGCGAATAGGCACTGCCTTCTGAACACTACTACCTTTAACAATTACATGAGTTCGGTTGGTGGCCAACTGAAGAGGGCCATCATGATCAGAACTTATTTCAGAAACACAAGATGTGTTACTCTTATGCTGCAAACCAGCATGTGCTTCCTTTGAAGGGTTTATGTCTTTAGCAGTCACTTTAGATTGGTCAGTAAGTAAATTAAAAGAGGAACTGCAATCAAAACTCATTTCAGAACCTCTTGATTCATAAGCCTTATCTTCTTGGTCAACTCTCTCCGCGCTCCAAAGGTCTTGTGCAGCCTCTTCAGGGTGATCAGGCGCTGACTGAGGAGAGCCACAAGCATATTCCATTTTGGAGCTCCCTGAGCTCCTCTGTCTCAAAAAGACTGACTTATTTAAAACTACATGCTTTTCTTCTTGGGTACGATTCATATTAGAAAACAATTTCTCATGGTGCTTTGGAATGGCATATTCAAAGATTCTTTTATTAGGAGGCCTATCAGTTTTATTTGGGTTGATTGCTGGCTTTGCTGTTAATTTGGAAAGAGATTCACATTTTAAGGAGCCCTCAGTACCCATAAAAGCATGAGATTTAAAGCCAGTTGACAAAGTTTTACCCCGAGATTTTACATCTCCCTGCAAAATCAATTTATCTGAATTTATACATACAGATTTCCTATTTGATTCTTTAGGTTTCTGATACAAAACTGAAGAAGTTTCTAGACGGGATGAGAGCACGGGATTTCTAGAGCCCCTGTCTTGCTGGTCAATGGACCTGTCAACTTTGTTTGGGTCACATCTGCTAACTGAATCCAAGTGGGCTGCTAGTGGTAACCTAGTAGTATTAGTTGTACGTGGTCGATCATAAGAACTTTCAGGTAAACGACTAGCAGGAGCAGTAGAAATCACTGAGGGATGTATTAAGTTTTGTCCATTATTTGTAGCTTGACCAACACCTACTGGACTTAATTCTTTCAGGCCACTCCCAATTTTATAAACAAACTCCAAGGGCTGCTGCTGCCCCTTCTCCAATTTTTGAATAACTGATGGTCGAGTTGAAACACCCTGTGTACATTCCTGAGATTTACTAGGTCTAGAATACAACTCTCCAATAGGTTCGACACTTTTGGTAGCTATCTCTCCTCTGGCTCCAGTAGCATCATCAGCCATTTCTTCAGAAACAGAATCATCTACAGGAGCCGCTTCAGAAGATGATGCATTATTCCTAAGAAGTCTCTCATTTTGTCTTGATCTAAAAAGAAAGGGAAAAATCATTAAAATATTCTAGTATTCACTTAAAATGTTTAAGACAAGACATAATGTTATTTTGTTTTTATCCTGGGGCAGATTCTTAGAGGACAGAGATTTAAGACCATCACACCAGACTGTATAATGTATTTCAGGGAGGTAATCGGTACAGAAGATGGAGGTAGCTCTACCAATTGCTACTTAGTAAACACAAATGGCTCCTAAATATGAGAAATATGTAAATAAAGCCATGCATCACTTTTCAGATATCAGAACAATAAATAGGAAAGTTTAACACAAGTTACTTAACCTTCTTTAGTTTCCTCCTTCCAAAAAAATACATGAATCTTTTTGTTTTTTAAATATACTTTATTGATTATGCTATCACAACTGTCCCAATTTTTCCCCTTTGCCCCCTTCCACCCAGTAGCCCCCTCCCTTCAGCAAATCCCCCACTTTTTCATGTCCATGAGTCTTGCACATAAGTTCCACAGCTTCTCCATTTCCTACACTGTTCTTAACATCTCCGTTTATTTTGTACCTACAATTATGCTTGTTTTTTCATTTGTTAAAGTATATTCTATTGATTATGCTATTATAGTTGTCCCATTTTTTCTCCCCTTTATCCCCCACCACACCGCACCCCCTCTCCCTAAAGCATTCCCCCCTAGTTCATGTCCATGGGTCATACAGGTAAGTTCTTTAGCTTCTTCATTTCCAATACTATTCTTAACCTCATCCTGTCTATTTTGTACCTACCGTTTACGCTTCTTATTCCCTGTACCTTTTCCCCCAATTCTTCCCCCTTCCACTCTCCAGATAACCCTCCATGTAACCTCCATTTCTGTGATTCTGTTCCTGTTTTAGTTGTTTGCTTAGTTTGTTTTTATTTTTGTCTTTTTAGGTTCAGTTGTTGATAGTTATGAATTTGTTATCATTTTACTGTTCATATTTCTCATCATTTTACTGTTCATATTTTTCATCGTTTTTTCCTTTAACATTTCATATAAGGGCTTGGTGATGATGAACTCCTTTAACTAGACCTTACCTGGGAAGCACTTTATTTGCCCCCACATTTGAAATGATAGCTTTGCTGGATAGCATAATCTTGGATGCAGCTCCTTGCCTTTCATGACTTTGAATACTTCTTTCCAGCCCCTTCTTGCCTGAAAGGTTTCTTTTGAGAAATGAGCTGACAGTCTTATGGGAACTCCTCCATGGGAAACTCTCTGCTTCTCTCCCACTGCTTTTAAGATTCTCTCTTTTTCTTTAACTTTTGGCATTTTAATTATGGTGTGTCTTGGTGTGGTCCTCTTTGGGCCCATCTACTTTGGGACTCTCTGTGCTTCTTAGGCTTGTATATCTACTTCCTTCACCAAATTAGGGGAGTTTTCTTCCATTATTTTTTCAAATAAGTTTTCAATTTCCTATTCTTCCTCTTCTCCTTCTTGCATCCCCATGATTCAGATGTTGCCACATTTGGAGATGCCCTGAAGTCTTATTATACTATCCTCATTCTTTTTGAATTCTTGTTTCTTCTTTCTGTTCTGGTTGAATGCTTATTTTTTCCTTATGTTCCAAATCGTTGATTTGAATACCAGCTTCCTTTCCTTCACTGTTGGTTGTTCCCTTTAAATATTTCTTCATTTCACTTAGTGTAAACTTCATTTCTTTCTTTATGTTGTTTATGTACTCATTGAGTTCTTTGAGCAACCTGATCACCAATATTTTGAACTCTGATTCTGAAAGGCTGGTTATCCCTGTTTCATTTAGTTTTTTTTCTAGGGTTTTGTCCTGTTGTTTCATTTGAGCCATATTTCTGTTTCCTCAATTTGTCAGTCTCCCTGTGTCTGTTTCTGTATATTAGTTAGAGCTGCTTTAACTCTCTTAGTAGCATAGTGTGTTATAAAAAAGGCACCTGTAAATTGAGTGGGGCAGGGCTTTAGGTAATAGCCATGGTGGAGCAACCCACTTCACCACTTTGTGGCTGTAGGTGTGGGGTGGGCTCAGAGAGGAGAGAATGCCGCTGACTGGCTTCTGGAGGTTGGACCAGTACTTGCCCCATTTCCAGTCACTTCACCCACTATGCAAGGGCACCCTTCCAGCTGTTGCCCTGGTGCTGAATCCCAGAGTGGGTAGATTTATGTACATTCTAAGAATGTGTAGACCCTATAAAGGCATTTCCAGAACATCCAGCAGTTTTTCCACTGACACAACCCCCACTGGTTTTTACACCCAGAAGTTATGGGGATTTATCCTCCCAGCACTGGAACTCTTGGCTGTGCAGTGGCCTGGGGCTGGGATCGCTTGCTCCTAAGGTATCCCTCCCACTTTTTGTCTACCACATGAATGTGGGACTGCCTACTCTACCACCACACCTAATCTCCTCACCTCTCCACCTGTATCCATATCTCTGCCCCTCCCACCCATCAGGATGAATATGGCTTCTTTAAATCCTTGGTTGTTAGACTTCCACATAGTATGATTTTCTGACAGTAGTGGGCGTTGTTTGTTTTGAAAGTTAGTTGTAATTCTTTTTGTGGTTGTGCAAGGAGGCAAAGCATGTGTACCTCCATCTTAATTGAAAGTCTTCCTTCATGAGACTGTTTTGAGAAGTAAATTAGTTTTTGCATGTAAAGAGCTTTTTAAAAAGATTTTATTAATTTATTTTTAGAGAGGAAAAGGGAGGGAAGGAATTAGAGAGGGAGAGAAACATCAATGTGAGAGAGAAATATTGATTGGCTGCCTCTCATATGCACCCCAACCAGGGACCAAACCCATAACCCAGGCATGTACCCTGACCAGGCATCAAACCCATGCTCTTTTGCTTTGCAGGGTGACACCCAACCAACTGAGCCACACCAGTCAAGGCAAAGAACATTTTTTTAAAAGTCTGTAAAATAGTAATCATTAACTATTAATTATTTTAACACATTGTTTTGGCAAAGCTGCAATGACCGGCACTTTAATACATTATTGGTAGGAGTATAGATTAGTTTAATCTCTATGAAGAACAATTTGGTAATATCTACTAAAATTAAAAATACCAAGAGGAGTCTAAAGCGACATGACAAGTTAATTTAATATAATTATCCTGGATGGGATCCTGAAACAAAAACAAAAAAAATTAGGTAAAAACTAGAGAAGTCTAAATAAACTACAGAATTCAGTTAATGTATTACACTGGTTCATTAATTGTAACAAATGTACCATACTAATGTAAGATGTTAGTAATAGGTAACTGGATGGGGGGTATATAAAGATTACCTGTCCCATCTTCCCAAATATTCTGGTAATCTAAAACTATGTAAAAATATAGTCTATTTAAGACAGAAGGAGCTTAAGACATGCATAGGAAATGAAGAAGCCAAAGAACTTTTAAGTACAACCCATGGACATGAACTAAGCTGGGGGGTGAATGCTAGAGGGTGGGGTGGGGTGGGATGGGGTGGAGGGGGATAAAGGGGGAAAAATGGGGCAACTATAATAGCATAATGAATAAAATACACTTGAAATATATATAGCATATTTAAAATAATAAAAATTTAAATAGATTAACACCTAAAAAACACCTTTTTTTAAATATCTTTTAACTTGAGAGATGCCATAATTGCCTAAGAGAATATTCACATATGTGTTGGCTACATGCAACTTTTTAAAAAATGTCATAGATATTACTAATGCTTTCCCCCCTCCAAATTATAATTGTATTAAGATAATGTTTTTGGCATTTGTAAATTTAAAAAGCTAACCCTGTTATCAAAATAATATCATGATGGGGCAAAAAAATCCCATAATTTTCATACTTCTGAATTCTAATCAATAAAATTGGAGTACAGTAATCACTTTACCCTAGTTTTTCAGAAGCCTGTAGATTATCTCCATTTGTCTTAAAGACGATCACAACGTTCTCAAAATAAAATTAACTTTGTGTCATTTGGCTAACAAAAGAGATGAAGAAAACAAAGACAAGCATATTCATAAAATCCAATAAGTTGGCAGAAGTCTCAAAAGGGTTAGGAATCATCATTTATATGCTTAGATTCATATCAATATTTTTGTTTATGTGTATGTTTGAAGTTAACAACTAAAGTACCATCTGTATTTCTACTGTTTTAAACTAATTTTATGACCAAAAAAAAAAAGCCCTTCAAAAAATCTAATGACTAGAGGTTAAAAAGCTACTCTTTTCTATAACCCATGCTAAAAAAGCAACATTTAAAAAAACTATCTATAAATACAAGAACTGTATATAAAAATCTATGACATGTCAAAATGGAAACTTCAAACTTTTAAACCTTCCATTAAAAAAGAATTAGTACACATACATTAACTAAATGAGCACCCAAATGAGAAAGAATAACCAAATTCCTCCCCCAAGAGCCAAAGAAATAAATTAAGAAAAACCAATAAATAGGAAGCAAAAATAAAGCAAGAGCTGATTTTTAAGAAGGCTAAAGTGTCTAAACAAGAAAGCAAGACAGAAAATTTTTTTAACTTTTACTTAGAAAGCTTATAAAGATAATTAAACAATGTTGTATTGGCATAGGATTTAAAAAACTCAAGGAAAGAAAATTGTATTCAAAAATCAAATATACAGATACACATACAATCTAGGAATTTAGTTTATGTTGTAGGTGATATTATAGATCAGTGGATATAATTAATATAAATTTATTAAAAAATAAGTAGAAATGCTGTCTCACACTACAAATTTTTAAAATTCCAGGAAGTGCCCTGGCTGGTGTGCTTCAGTGGATTGAGTGAGCACTCAATCCCGGCCTGTGAGCCATTCTGTAAACCAAAGGGTCGCCGGTTCAATTCCCGCTCAGGGCATATGCATGGGTTGCAAGCCAGGTCCCTAATAGAACATGCATGAGAGGCAACCACACACTGATGTTTCTCTTTCTCCCTCCCTTCACTCTCTCTAAAAAAATAAATAAAATCTTTTTTAAAAATTCTGGGAAGATTAGAAATATTTAAAAGAAGAAACAAGGGCATAAAAAAAGACATAGAAAATAACATAAATGGAAATTCCCCTTAGATCTGATCATATCAAAATGTTTAATTTCTGTATCATAAAAGGGACACACAGTTGAAAAATATGGCAAATTCTGAAAAAATATTTTTAACATCTTTAAAATACAAGGAACTGGTATCCATAAGTATTGCATACAAATCCAAAACATACAAAAACTTCAACAGAGAAATAAGCAAAGCATATGAACAATTCAGAGGATAAATATATGGCTAATATATATGTGAAGAGAGAAGTTCTATTTAACTCATAAATAATTAAAGTAAGAGATATACTTTTTTTCGCCTACTATGTTGGGAATAACAAAAGGAGATTGCTGGAACCCCCGTGCTGACGAGACTGGCAAGGAAGGCGCCCTCTCTTCCACTGCTGGTGTCTGCATACAAATACAAACTGTACATACTGTGCATGTTACAGTGTCTTACAGAACCTGACTATTTCACTCTGCTGTCACCAGTGTTTCTGTCACTCGTCTTTTAAAAGCTACTTGTGCTGGTATCTTTTTCCTGTGCTTAATCTTGACATGCTTATCAAACGCCTGAATGATATATAATTACTTACTGCCCTAAAACTTTTACTGGGAAAAAGTATTGTATAGTCCATATCTTTCATAGTGAAATGTGCTACTTAAAGTAGGAAAAATTAAAAAAAAATTGCAAGGGAAAATTACTAGATAAAATTTCACATTATATTCCCTGACTCAAAGATTCACTTTAAGAAGCACTGACACGTTATCACAAATATCTACTGCAATGTATACCTACTATGCACTAATCTTACTCCATTCTGTTACTTTACCTGCTTTCTTGATAATGATACGGGTGGTGCCGCAGTACATCCTGCAAGAAACGTTCCATCAAACTACTGGAGCCCATCCGTTGTCTGTTCTGTGCGGTCAAGTATCTGTGCTGAGGACTAGCCATATGCTATAGGGAAGAAAGAAATGGAATGTTTTTAAATGGGTAATACTCAGCATTGAGAGTAGGAGCAGAAATTGATATACCCTTTCTACAAAGAAATTCTAAAATATACATCTAAAAGCGATAAAATTAACTCTCCCTTAGATACAATACTTACATCTCTCTAAATCTCTCCTAAAGAATCACCTTAAATGTGGATTATTTATGCAAAAAATGACGCTTATCATAGATTTATTATCTGCCTCCCCATGTTTATAATGGCATTAAAAAGTACATCTTTTTCAAAAGGCAAAGGTGTGGAAATCAATAACAAAACCTCAGCCTCAGTATGAATTTAAGTGACTATTAGATAATTAAACAAAACAAATGCCACTAAACAGCAGAATTTTTATATATTACAGACCTGTGTTTGATACCATAAAAGTTTAGCACTAGCAGCATCAGAACTTCATTATCACAACTTCACCTATGACACAATTATGAATATAGATACAGAAATCTTCAACAAAATACCAACAAACCAAATTCAGTGACATATAAAAAGGATTATATACCATGGCAAAGTGAAATTTATCCCAGGAATGCAAAATTAGTTTAACATCTGAAAAGCAATCAATTATAATGGCTACAGGTTGAATTCTGTACCCCACAAATGTATATGTTAAAGTTGTAACTGCCAATATGACTATATTTGGAGATAGGGCTTTTAGGGGGTAATTAAATCACATCATAAAGAAAAATTAACTCAAAATGAATCAAAGATCTGAATGTAAGAGCTAAAGCTATAACATGCTTAGAGAAAAACACAGGCATTAATCTTCGTGATCTTGGATTAGGTAATCTTTATGACACCCACAACACAAGCAACAAAAGGGAAAAAAGCTAAATTCAACTATAGCAAATTTAAAACTTTTGTGCATCAAAGCATAAAATTGAAAGTCCTTACCTTACTTTACAATGTCTTACAGAATCTAATTCTCTGAATTCTTCACCTGCCATTCAATACCCACTCCCACCACCACCCTACTTCCACTGCGGCCACACTGGCCTCCTGGCTTTTGGGTAGCACGCCAACCACCCACCTGTCTCAGGGTCTCTGTCCTTGCTCTCTCTTCCCTCTACCTAGAGATTCCTCTGCCAGAGATAAGCAAGCCTGGCTCCCACAGTTCATTCAAATCCCAATTCTAATGCTATTTCCCTAACCTTACCTAGCCACCCTATCTAAAATTGTACTCCTTTGCTTATTTTATTTTCCTTATAACATTTATCACAATCTGACATGTTGTGTACTAAATTTATATGACTATTTTCTGTTTTATTGTATTGTAAGCTCCATAAATAAAGCGACCTTTTTTTTGCTGATGATCATGTCCCTAGAACCTTAAACGTGTCTCTCAACAACTAGGTTCATGATCTGTTCCATGAATGGATAAACTGAATAAAATGTAAAAAAAGAGGAAGTCACTGCCAACTCCTTTGAGGCATGATTACCATATTAACAGGATCGTCTCACCTGCTCCAGATTATTGTACCGCACACAGCAATAGCTGCAGTATCCTTGTCTGTTCTGCATGTTGAATAACCAAAGTCAAAAGGTACTGTCGTTGAATACTCAAACTGAAAAAAGAAATGGCGAAATCACAATAATTCTTGCTATCACAAGGAAACTTGCTATGACAATATTAGAGAACAGAAAACCACTCTTGAGTCCTACCCACTCTTATTTCTCATAATTATGAAAATAGATAAGACTTCCTTCCACATGAGCTATGAAATCAATCCATGAGGGGAGTGGAGAGGATAGCTATATATCTAACACTGTAGTTTGCTGCCAGTAATTGAAGCCTGGGTGACTAGGTTTTTAACTTGTTAGTGTATTAGGACTGATGCAGTATTGAAGACTACCTGACTCAATTTTAAAGACAAGTTACTCTTTCTAAGTTATTATTATAGTATATTTAACATACGCTAAGGAGGCTCATGAATTTTCCCATTATATTTCTACACAAAACCCCAAATTACTTAAACAGCCAGTGTCATATATAACATCCAATTCTCTCTCATGAGAGTATAGATGCCACTTGTATTTTCTGCTTAGTCCAGAAACAGATTTTGAAATAATTTACCCAACAAAGCTGCTGAAAATCAAAATAACAACTAATTTAGTCTCTGAAACACATGACATTTCTCTCTGATAATTACATAAACCAAACAGATGAGGAATTTTTTCCAACTGGTATAATGAGATTTCGCTACAAATAGTTTCTAAGTTTCTACCCCTTAAAACTATAATCCTCCAACATTATACACTGCAGTGGTTTCCAAACCAGAATGAAGATCAAAATCATCCCCCAAAATTCTGATTTTGTAGAGCTGAGATGGAGTCTAGATTTTAGGAATTCCCAGGTAACTCTGATACACAGCCAATTCACCCACTGACACAAAGTATGTATGTTGATTACTTCAGTAACAAAGTCCACACAATACAGTTTTTGCTTTGTATTCTTAAAGTTAAAATAGAACTGTAAGAAATAATTTTATCACCTTTTTAATTCTAATTATTTTAAACACTGTGCGTTGGAAAATATAGAGAGAATGATCCTATAAAGTATTATGAATATTTCTGATAAGAAGGATGACCCCACAACAGAAAAATAATTTACCCATTAAAATCAATGGGTAAATTTTCATTTAAAAAATGAAATCAGAGCTTCAAAATCTGTAAGATGAAAACAGAAAATAGCTTCTTTAAGTCAAAAAGCTGTAACATTCACTTACCTATTACTTTTTATTATGAAAAACTTTGACTCTTTGACTTCCCACACTTAGGAAGAAAATGAATCAACTAAAACCAGCCTCTGAAATAAAGAATATATAAGAAATTACTTGTAATTTGGTCCTAGTTCCATTACTGTACTTCATTCATAATCTGAAGCCACAACATGAAACAAGCTTCAAGATGCATTTACAGACACAGTCATTTTCAGGTTGAGAAACCCCTAGAGCCTAAACGTAAACTTTGAAAATCACTAAATAAAAAGCCTTTATTTTAAAGTTTTTTTTATCTAATGTGCTTTATTTAAAATACAATAAAAACATTCACTGAACAAGAGGCAAAGTGAAAGTATAGATCTACTATTACACACACAAAATTTAAATGCTTCAAGTATTTTTAAAATCTTTAACCCTTATGTCCTTCAAGTCCCATGGCACCCTCACCTGCTGCTTCCATCATCTCCGGTGTCATGGACATGCTACAATGACCGTGAGCGACAAGGAATCAGAAGCACTTGGCATTTTGTTTAAATTCACATGCTAGGACCCCACTTGAAAAACGCAGTGAATCACAATCTGCTGGGGAGAGACAGCCCCATGCATATTATGCATATTTAAAATGCTCCCAGATGGCTCTTCTATTGGTTGAACCAATAATGTAAGCCATCTTTTTAAAATACTAATGAAATTCTTACTTAAAGGCATCATTTCTTCGGGGTCTGGGACTCTATCACATTGTACGACTGAGTAGGTCTTCTTATATAAACTCTGAATTCTCCCAGGACCTGATATGTTTACAAAGTAACAAATCATTTACCTTAGCAGAAAAGGGCAGGTACTTCATCAGCTATATTAGTCCTGGCAAACATCTGTAAATTAAAATAAAATGATTTTTTAAAAAAGATAAGCTCTGTAATGTCTGCCCTTGGCCCAATAAACACCTCCAAGTCATATTTCAGTTTAAAAAGTGACACAGTTAGGTTTCTAATAGTAAAAGCAAAAATATTAACCGCTGAACACCAAGCACTTCATATACTATGACTCACTAAATCCTGCACGACCTCCTAAGATACTCCGGAGCCCAGGAGCGGTGACGGCCCACGGCCCACGGCCCACATAAGCCGCGTCAAAGACATCAGATCTCGGGGTCCGAGAATAGCGGCTGTGAAAAAAAAAGTGAGGCAGAACTGTGCCACTAACGTTAAGAACAAAGATACCATCGACCCCAAAATAAACTGCATGAGAAACTTTTAAAAGAAATATCCACATGAAATTAAGTTTGGTTTCTTGGACTCATCACCCAACTCTCACCGCCTGTATTAGTTCTAATGAAAGATACTGTCAATTATGTATCATCTATTCGTATTTATTGACACTTCAGACAAATTATCAATTCTTTATTTTTCCACATGTGGTGGGCAGTGTGTTGACTATATTATCCAGGCTCACTGGTTACCAAAAAATGCCAGTGCTCTGACTCAAAAGAGCTGGTGACACCAATGTATAATCAAAGAATGGAATCAATACATTGAGCACGTATCCTGTGTAAGGGTCCACGGTGGGAGGTTTAAGAGACAGAGGAAAATACAAGACAAGCTTCTTGCTCTTAAGAAGTTTAAAACGGAAATGGGAAATTCATGTAAAAAATACCGGGTGGGATCTGAGAATTGCATAGGCACAAATAATAAAGCTGACCGGTTTTAACTGGAGGGGCCAGGATGTCATTGTAGGTATGGTTTTTTTAGTTGGGAATTGGAAAATGGGTAGAATTTGCTTACACAAAGGTCAGAAAAAGATATTCCAAGTCACAAAAAAGCAAAAGCACAAAAGCAAGAAAGCACAAGGTATATTTGGAGATAATCAGTTGACAAGTACAGATAAACCCAGGGTTTTGTTGAAGCATTCACGGACAACAAAGCAAGAAAAGATGATTTGTGTGTTGACATGATAGGGTTTAAAAGCAGACTAAAGAATTTAGACCTATGGAAATATTCTGAAAAGCAGTATACCACACTCAAAGACTGCTTTAAGAAAATTCTGGAACAATGGTTCTTTCCTACTCAAAGGAGCTTTTTTTTTTTTTTTTTTTTGCAGGGAAAGGAATGTTACTGTTAAACTCTTCAGTACCATTTCTTAAAATATTAGAAAAATTAGTTTATATCCAAAATATCTATGTAAGAATCTGTATCCCTTAGAGCAAAGATTTAGGCTCATTATGAATGCAAATAGAAAATACAATCTTTTCCTTTAAAAACATGACTTTTATTATTTTTAGTATAAAAGTGAAAAATATTTATTACAATGCAATTATAAAACTAAAGAAATAAAAATCATAAAAATTGGCTGTAATGCCAGTAGCCACCATTAACATATATTATATACTCTTCTTTTTACTAAACATGTTTTTATAAAAATGGAATGATACCATTCAATCTATTCTATAGCCTGTTACTTAACCATGTATGAGAAGCACCTCTATACATTATATATAATTCATAAATAGAATGCTTAATGATTGCATAGTATTTCTTTCATCTTTTTAGTGTAAGACAAAAAAAAGCCCTCTTGTCTAACAAGACCGAGTAATTGGTAATTTTTTTAAAAAATAGTCAATAAGATGATTTCAAAAATACATACACACATAAACTTACTATTTTATCTAAGTTAAAATATAGAAATGTATATATGTTTGATTTAAGGACAAATTGGGCTGTTTTTGTTTCACTGGGGGGTTTTTGTGCATAGGACAGCTCGAGTTCCACATCATTTTTTTTCATTCTTTCAAAAACTCCATCGTAATCATACACACTCAACAAGTTTCCATTTTCTTGTTCTCTAAAGCAGAACAAGAACTTAAAGACATTCAAAACTGAGAGCACTATTAGGACTGCTTAGGGTTTTGTCCAACCCTTTGCAGTTGTCACACCCACTTAAGTATTTTTGCAAAAGCCTCATTTTTAGTCCAAAGCATTTATTTTTCATAACTATAACAATGCCATAAAAATGACAATGCTCACACTCTTAGTTCACTGATTTATGTGACATTTAAAACTGAGGAAACGATCCGGGGCAGACTCTGAACTGAGTGAAAGAACTTCAGCACAACTGACTCAAAAATGAAATAAAATTGCATTTATTTTCTTGACACGGTTTCTTGCACACCGGAGACCTGTACTTATTGTCGAAATGAGTTCAGAGTTGTCGTGTGTGAGTTTCTCAAGCTGCCTTTGGCATTGGAAAAAAAGCTAACCAGAATCTTTCTGGGAAAAAATTTTCAACAGCCTGACAAGAGAGACACCGATTTACTAGGAAAGACAATAGAAGGGCATTTGGTCGACTGAATAAAATAATCTAAATTACCTGTCTAGGAATAGGGATACGATTGGGGAGCAATTACAAAACAATGGCCAAACAATATGTTACAAATCCTCGCTCAGTGTCCCTTTCTTTACAATGTTAAACTGATTTTCAACTTACCTCTGGTGACAAGCGTTATCCTGGATACTTCAGTTCAGTCTTATTAAAGTAATAATGGTTAGCTTTTAGTGAGTACTTAATCTGGGCCAGGCACTGTGTCAACAATTTCACAAGCATTTTGTCATGTGGATATCAAACAGTCTTTTGAGGTTGGTGTTTTGATATCTCCCACTTTACAAATCAAGAAACTGAGATTTAGAGAGAAGCAGCATCTTGTTCCAGGGCACACACCCATGACCAGTGTAGTGGGGATTGGACCCTGGGTCAATCTGAGCAGTTTGTGCTCTTAACCTTTTAACTGCTATAAAATGCTTCCTCTCTGCATTTTCAGGAATGTAATTACTTGTTTTAATATTAGGTGAAAACAAATAATTAGGAATATAATTTGCCGCAATAAACACTGTCACATATTCCAAAGAAGAGAGTAAAACTGATGTTTGGCTTAATTGCATCATTGCTCCATTCTCCGAGCCGGGTGCAGACAATACCTTGCATTAGTGACTCTAAATTAAATATCGTGTTGAGCAAAAAAGAAAACAACGGTGTGGTGATTGCTGGGGAGAGGGGGGATATAAAGGGACCAAGTGGTAATGGAAAAATACAATAAAGATTCAATGTAAGAAAATAAATAAATAATTAAACATCAAGACACAGGAAAGCAATACATTTTATATCACAATCCAGCACACCCACACGCAGGTATACATGCACCCCCCTCACACACACACAGTTTTGCAAAACAATACCCTCATGATGTGTAATGTAATGCATTCCGGTATTTTCTATGCTATTTTATTTCATTTTTTAAAAAGTGCTAATTATGAGTCACCAAATTAATTTCACAATTTATCAATGGATTGAAAACTGCCATTTGAAAAAACACTGCTTCAAAATATTAAGCAGAGCAAACAATATTTTATAGACGATGGTTGTTACCCTGAATTCAGTTTATTTCTATCCAACATCTTGGCCATAACTGCGATACTTTATCAAATCTTTAACAAGTGTCTTTACTAAGGCTGACCACTGGCCAAGGCGCAGAGAGAAGAAAATCACTGCCTTCTACGCTTTGGGTCCAGGTCAGTGCAAGTTGAGAAGGCAGTGGAGGGATGTTTATGCATCGATGTAGAAAAGTCCTCAATGTAGTAAAAGAAGGGGTACAGATTTCATTAGTACCCCAATTATATAACACACGGATATAATTTATGAACCCCAAATAGTTAATAGTGGCTCTTGAAGATGAGATTGCTATAGGCTTTTTCAGCGGGTTTTTTCCTGATAGTACAAATACGGTTTGCCACAAAAAAAATAAATATAATTCTATTCTGAGTGTAAAACAAAAACGTTTTAGTTCCTTGAGGGCCACTCTCTCTTTACGCATTTCTTCCACGCGCTACCAGAATCACCGCGTCGGATAATGTCAGGAGCTGGAAACGGCCTTTTCAGAAGCACGTAATGACAACGGCGTAATTTGACCAGATTTACACAACTGTTGCACGGCGATAGTAAAATAATCGTTAACACAAAAACCTAACGTTTCCAAAATAAATTCTAATTGCAGGAGGCTGGTAAAGGCCTAGTTCTGGGGGCAGCTGGTCACAGCGCAAGGCACAGGGGGAAGGGGATCTGTAGACAGGTGGCTCCAGATCTCAACCCCACCGATGCCCCGTGCAATTCCCCGAGGGTACAAAGCCCTAAATCCGACCTCCGCAGATTTCCCCGTCTCCAGGGCCCAGCCCAAGGCCTCGTTCACCCGGCCCCTCCGACCCAGGACCCCGACAGAAGCACAAGGCTGCCCGCGCCCCACCTCCACCCCACGTCCCAGCCACCGCGATCCCAGCCCGGAGACGCCGGGCCCGCTCGCGCTGGAGGAGCAGGAAGGGACCGGGGTGAGGGGAAGCCGAGGACCTGCCAGGCGGGTGCGGGAGCCGGGCGAGCGGTCCGTACGTCCCTCGGGAGGAAGAAGGCGCCCGGGGCGCGAGGCGAACAGGCCCCACCCCCGGCCGTGCACACGGAGCCCGCGGGCGTCGCCCGGGCTGCGCGCCGACTCGGCCAGCCCGTCCGCGTCCGCCCCCGCCGCCGCCGTTCTCACCTCCGTGGAGGCAGCCCTGATTCCTTCCGGGCCTCGGTAGAGGCCGAAGACCGGTGGGCTCGCTCCCTTCCTATTCCGGTTCCATGGCGGTGCCCAGACCCCCGAGCCGTCCAGAGCGCCGCGGCCGCCTGCGCCTGCCGACTGCTGCCCGCGGAGCCAGATGCGAGAGCCACCAGCCTCTGCCGCCTGTGCGAGAGGAGAAGCGAAGTGAGAGCGTCACTTCGCGGACCCGGGCCCCCAGTCACGACTCAGCCCACGTAGTCCTCCAGGGGCAACGCGGCGTTGCAGCCCCGATTGAGGTTTGACGTCAGGGAAGGTGCGAAAACAAGGCCCCTTCTGACGCAGGAGCCGCGAGACCGCCCCTAGCCCACCCCCACCCCCAGCGCCGGAGCCCCCTTCCTCCCGCCCCCAGCCCTCCCCTCCCCGACATCTTTTAAAGCGAACACTTCCTCCAGGGTCAGGGCCCCACTCCAGGCTTGTGAAATCAAACCTGTTTCAAACAAAATGACCAGGCTTATAGCGCAGTTGGGACGTGAGACACACACCAAGGTTTTATTATCTGAGGGACCAAGATAGAAAATGCTTCCCTATGCAAAGCAACACATGAGCTGCAGAAAAGAAAATGGGCTCAGAGGGGCTAGTCGTTCGCGCTGCCTCGGTGTGTTTCCCCGCAGTGAGCTGCATCTAACAAAAGCTGCTGTTTAATGAGCGCTTGATTGGTGTTTAAGGCTTCTATGTAATTCTTGCATTTCATCCTCAGGACAACCGTTTATTAAGATCTTCTAACGAATCCTGTCACACCCTTTGGACAAATGAAAAAAACCTAGGCTCGGGGAGACTAGGTATTCAAAGACCTGTAGTGCACACGAAAGGGTTACGAATATTAATCAAAATCAAGTCAGTTATTCAGTGATATTCTGTACCACCCACTGCGAATATAATTTTGTGCAAAAACAGCTTAGCGTAATGAGGGACACAAGCCCGAATTCATCACGCTACTGAATGCATTATAATCTGTGATAAAGAAAATAATCATACCTAAAATGGAGAGAGCGGGTCTCTATTTGGAGAGCTATGTCTTCTGGAAAAATAATCATAGAATGAGCTGCTTTGCTCTTTGGTAATTGCTATAGTTGTCATTTTTTTTAATAAGCTTGTGACTTTGTCCCCCCCCTTTTTTTAAACTTGTCCATTGCTTTTGCATTCATAGTTTACATTCTTTGTGTATATTCCAGCTCCTGCTTCCCCTACTATCTCTTCCTTCCACTTTAAATCTGGGCTTTTGCAACTGTTTAGTTTATCACCTCCTTTGGATTTTGTTAAGACACACAAAAAAAGCACTGACTTTTTTTTTAAGGCAAACTCTTTCCACATCTTAACCTTGGAATTGGTGAAAAAAATTCATTATACATTAACCCAGCCACCATGACATAATGTTATTTCACAGATGCTGAGACACACATTTTTTACACTTTAACATCTCTGAAAACAGGATGCGTTTTACAAACTGGGCTCTTAATATTGGCCATGGGGCTGTATTAACATAGTTGTCATCGACAGCACAATTAGGTAGCTGTTCACATCATCCTTATTTCACCTGAATTAAGGACATTGTTTAATAAAACCCGCAACTCTAAGAGAAGGGCATTAACAGGTATAGAAGTCTTTCAGACTTGAAGAGTCCTAGGAAAAGAGGGGAGATTTTCCTAGGACCAAAAAGAGATTTCTCCAGCACTTAGCAAAGAGAAATATGGGACCAGCTAAAAGCTATTCGACCCCTGCGTTACTCACCAGGTACATTAGTTCTTAATGCATTTTGGAAACCTACATCTGAACAGTTAAATAATAAGTCTAATGCACACACCTCCAAATAAGTGAAATGTCTGAGTTATTATTCCTGATGTTATAGTTAGTCAATTACAACCCCTCTAAGTTTTGGCAAAAAATAATATATATGTATGTATAGAGGTAGGAAAATGAATCTTGAATGTAACCTGAAAAGAATCCATTAACCTCTTCCAGGTAGGTCAAGAAAGTGCTGGCATGAAACTTGCAAAATGGGACCAGTTGCTTGGGGGAAAATACTGGATTCAGCCCTGGTGGGTGTGGCTCAGTGGTTTGAGTGCAAGGCTGTGAACCACAGGGTGGCCAATTGGATGCCCTGTCAGGGCACATGCCTGGGTTGCAGGCCAGGCTGGGCCCCCAGTTGGGGATGTGTACGTGGCAACCCATCAATGTATCTCTCACACATTAGTGGTTTTTGCTCTCTCTTCCCTCTGCCTAAATAAATAAATAAAATCTTTAAAAAACAAATGAAAAAATGCGAATATAATTTTGTGCAAAAACAGTTTAGTGTAATTTGTTTTGTAAAAACAAAACAAAACCCTGGATTCAATAGCGGAGCACTTGTAAGTCTTGCTGCATCACCACCACTTCTGGTGGCACAAAGACAATACTGCATGGAAAACCACAGCCGTTCAACAACGGACCCCCAAAGTGATTGAGTGGCATGGTTGGAGCGTTGCTCCTGTACACGAAAGGAGTGCAGGTTTGATTCCTGGTCATGGCAATACCTAGGTTGCAGGTCTGAACCCTGGTTGGGAAACATGCAGGAGGCCAATCCGTGTTTCTCTCTCACATTGATATTTCTCCTTTTCTCTCTCTCCCTTCCTCTCTCTGTAAGATCAATTTAAAAAAAAAAAAAAACCATTATCCTCAGGTGAAGATTTTTAAAATGCGATTTAGGAAAATGTGAAGTTTTGCCCTGGCTGGTGTGGCCCAGTAGACTGACTACTAGCCTGTAAACCATGGGGTCACTGGTTCAATTCCTGGTTGGGGCACATGCCTGGTTTGGGGGCAGGGCCCCCAGTGGGGAGGGGTGCTCAAGAGGCAACCACACACTGATGTTTCTCTCCCTCTCTTTCTCTCGCCCTTCCCTTCTCTGGAGATGAATAAATAAAATCTTTGAAGGAAAAAAAAGGGAAATGTGAAGTTTTTGGAACACCTTATCCAATTTTATAGTTCCCTTTTATACATGCTCCAGATTGATACATAATAACCTGTTTTTAAGTATGAAAGAGTTCTTTCACTAAGTATGAAATAAAAATGCTAAATTACAAGAAATCATTGCATTTTAGTTTAGTTGGCAGCATTTTTTATCCCAACCGATATTATCATAAACTTAGAGGCAATGCCATCTTGCATCAGAAGAGCAGTCCTTCCAAACTAGTCTCTGTCTAGTGGCCATGGGGACTTTTTTTTTGCAGATCTTAAGTATCTACAAGGCTCAGCTCTAAAAGCTAAAAAAAAAATTCCCCCTAAACCTTTGTTAGCCCACGGTAAATCAAAACCCATTCACTCAGCAAATATTTATTTAAAGGACCCCAGGAATCAAAGTTGGTTTCATATACACCCCATTCCCTCCTCAGAGAGAGAGGGGAAAAATGTCATCTGTATGTGTTATTTCACATTCTTCATTCTTCAACAGAAGAATAAAAACTGCTTTTTAATGTCCAGAAATCATTACAATAATTCCTGTTTTTTTGTAAGCTGCTTAAGCTAACATTAGGCTAATGTCGGAAGGGAAAAGGCAACTAGGGAAACCTAGATCTCATTTCTGAATCACAGAAGAATTTAGATTCCATCTGCTTAAGAGTTTGGATTATTTTTCCCCAAAATTCTATTACTGTACACAGCTACCTATTCACTGACAGGTGAGATTATGATGAAACTTTTATCCATTAGCATGGCATTTCAACTCTTTAAAAAGTATAATGTCATCTTTAGAGGAAAAAGATTCACTCACATCCCACATCCAAATCAAAATTTTAAAATTAATGAGAAGGGTCACAAAATATCTCCATCGTTTTGTCTTGATTCCTCCTCCTAAGATGGTCTCCATCCTTGACAAAAATTTCATTCAAAAGGAGAGGGAAGAATGATAATGCTAATGTCTTCATCTTACTGACTGTTGGAACAAGAAGGGAAAAGAGGCTCCTGAAAAAAGAACACAAAGTATTTGACCTAAGATTGCAGAGGTTCATGGTGGACATGTGGAAGGCAGTGGTACAAACGTGTGGACAGACAGGAGTGCAGGGGAAGGTGAGTCAAGGGGCTAAATCCTCATCCATCAAGTAAGAGTTTTATGTATAATGTGGGAGGCTGGCAAACCACCAACTAGCAATATAAGCCTATTTTTAACTAAACCCAAACATGATCCACCAGAACTGAAGACAATAAATTTGTTTTGAATATTTGCTTCCATTTGTCAAAAGTCAACGTGGGCAAAGGCACGGCTGTGGGACAGGTGACTCATCTCGAGGAACATTTCCCATTTAAAACATCAGTTTAAAATGATGCACAGTGAGATTTAACTTCTCTGGAATAACCTTCCCATCCTACTCTTCCTTCAGTCTAGTCAAACAAATTACTTCCACTTTTACATTCTGTAGATACACCTGTAACACAACTTGATACAAAGACCTGACTGGGACATAGTTTGACATCATTTGTTTCCAATACATAATTCTTTACCAACTCTTATATTCTATTCCTTTCTTCTTTTTTTTCTTTCTCTCTGTCCCCTCTTTTGTTTCTACCCATCCCTTCTTTTAATTTTCCTTTCATCATTTTCTTGCTAACTAAACCATAACTTGTAGCCCTTAAAGAGAATGCTTTTGACTTGTGGTGGTAATAAGGATTGAAAATGTCACTTACCTCACATTGGTTCCTTGCTAATTGAAAGGTCATTTCAAAACGTATGTCCTCTGGGGTTTACCTTTTAAAAAAAGTAATTATTATTGCCCTTTCTTAAAACAAGACATCAATATAAGAACTATGTTCTTGAGCTTTTCTCTCTATTTAAACTCCCAAATATCTTCACTGCTTGACTTGAAATGATATAGAATTATTTCATTGCTGAGGTTCCTCCCATACTTACTCCCAAAACCTCCACAAGATTTCTGATTACCACAGAGTCAATTGCACTAGCTACATTTTCTTATTTTATTCCTGATGCTCTGACATCTGGAGCCCAAGGACCCAAGGAACCCACCCTCCCAGAATTAACTAATTCTGAAACATAACAAACAACAGGCCTGCCAGCAAAGCTTTGATATGCAAGTGAACTAATAATACCTGAGTCCATAGCCCCACTGGCTATGTTCGTCAGGCCTCTGCTATCCAGAACTCTATCCCTAGCTCTTCACTAAAGGC